TATATATATATATATATATACATATGGTCATCCCAGTTTCCTGGGACAGTCCCTATTTTCGCATCATACGTCCCGGCGTCCCCCGAGAGGTCAAGCAATGTCCCGGCCTGTGGCTTTTTCTCGAAGAGCTGCACACTTTTCCCTAAACTTAGACAGGGACAAATGCTTCCTCTGTAAGAATCTTTTCTCTAATTAACAACATCTGGACACCGGATAAATCGCATCAGAAAGTTGATACATTGAAAGATGTGCTTATTGTCAAATGCAATTTCAATGATTCATGTGACAAGTTTTATGATATATTAGGTCTATTATTAAGCAATCCTGATGACCCTTAAGCTATCTACTCATCTCATTAATATTAGTGTGTCATGGTTACAAAAATTAATAATTACAACTCACTTGTTGATGCTTCATATTTCTGCCATTCGTCGGTTGTGTCCATTTATTTTTATTGTTCAACAACATGTCAATTTTTAGTAGTTAGTTTCTTACTGGCGAGCTGCTCCCCCCCCCCCCCCCCTTTTTTGAACGTTGAAGAAGTGACACTCTCAGACTCAGAAAGTATAAATAAATTGCAAAATACTTTTTGTACTTTTCTACTTTATCTTTATTGTTCACAAGTATTTCATTTGTGATTCCTGATTAACACAGTGCGAGGTTTCGGTACGTCCATAACAAAAGAACACAGTAGGTCTATACTATAAAATGGACACTAATGAATTAGATCTTTCCCCCTGCACCCCCTTTGCTACGCCTCTGATTGAAATTCATTTCAAAACTTTATTTTCATCATTTGAAATACTGCATTGTTTTACCCGGCTTTGTAAATCCTTCATATTAACTTCGCTTTTTTTTTGACTGGCTGAGTGGTGGATTAGCAAAATATTCGGACGGCAAAAGTGACCCACTTCCCATCAACACATCGAGCTGAAGCTTGGCACATAAACTCGTATCCGATGGCAACACACCATTTCACATTTTCAACCCCAACCCACAAAAATCATTTTGTCCCTGTTTTTCAAATTCCAGATATCTGCGCTAAATGAGATTCTTTAAAAAAATATCTCAAGTTAGTTTTTTGCGTAATATTTTCTTTTGTTTTTCTAGAATTGTTGGCTAAATAAATCTGCTATGTAAAAGCGAGTGGGAATTTGGAATATTAACATAGCCCAGGAGCGTGAAAATAATGTTCGGTTTCGAGCCGGGGGGGGGGGGGGCCCTAATTACGATTCTTCTAAGGGGGTTTTCTTGTTTGCCTGTTTTTTTAAATGTTCCGCCCCCCCCCTCATTGCTCGATATTACATTTTACAAAGGATTTAAACGAAGCACTTTGCTCTTAGGGATTGTTAAATGAATTATCCAAAGAAATTGAAGTTTTTTTTTTATTACATTATAGGTCTACATGTTGATTTTGAGTGTGTGTCAATAAAATACAAAATAAAATAACAAAATAATCACCTTGATTAAATTAAATTAACCATTTTAAATCAGAACTATTCCAATTTTAAATGTCAATTATAATTTTAAGTCATATCTTTAAATAGGACGTAAAAAAGAAGATCAAAGAAAACAGAGACACGTTTAAGAACCTCAACTAACTAACGCACATATTCTGGTGAGGGTCGGAGATTTCTCACTTATGACCCCGGCTAGTACATCTGCTGAGCTGAGCCATACATTTTCCTCACGTAGGACTTTCCCGCCAGTGGCACCTCCCCCGAAAACCTAATGAGGGACATTCGGTCAACAGATGCGCTAGTGTTTCTGGGACATTCGGTCAACAGATGCGCTAGTGTTTCTGGGACATTCGGTCAACAGATGCGCGAGTGTTTCTGGGACATTCGGTCAACATATGCGCGAGTGTTTCTGGGACATTCGGTCAACAGATGCGCTAGTGTTTCTGGGACCAGTCTGCAACGCCGGAGTTAGGGTCCCTTTTGTTAACTAGCCCAGTGGTAGGCAAATTCATCAGTCAAAATAGCAAAAAACCAGGTCGATTAAAAAAAATTGAGAGCCAAATTAAATTTCAAGTACCTGTCAAGAACCATGTTTTTCGGAGTCAAAACCGACTTGTGGCCGGCTGGCCGAGACGCACTCATGTCGCCGAAGAGCCTCATGCGGCTCGCGAGCCGCGATTTTCCGAACACTGATCTAGTCTGATGAAATATGTGCCGATGGGAAAGCGTTCGGTACGCAAAGAACCTCAACTAAATTATGTTATTAAATAACAAACAAAAAAGAACGAAAAAAAATGCTGGTTTTTAAATTTTAAAAATCTGTGTCAGCAAAGCTGCTCACTGGTGAATCATTAAGCCAAACTGAACATTCTTTACTATACTAGTTTCAATTGATAAAGTCGCAAGATTTTTAGCAATATCGCTCAGTGGTCATTTTTCCAATTTTTTTTTTTTTTTTACCCAGCAAGAATTGTAGGCTTATTGAGAGAATTTACAAAGACCCATTCATGTTTGAATTTCAAAATTCGTTACATATTGAAGAATATGTGGATTTGTTAACCATATCTGTTGCTTTCAAGATCTTCTCAGCCTTGTTTTTTTGTTTTTTTTTAAAATTAAAACCTCATCATAGCGATTGATCAGTTTTTTAATGGACATCAGTAACTCCTATTAAATGGCCTATATGTGGGGTTTGTGATCTTAATAAATGCACTATGTTATATGGGATTTCAAAACACACTTTACGAAGTCTGCGGCTGAACAAAAACAAGTTTGATAGAGACGGAGTAAAGGTGAGGGGAAGGTCAACAAATCTGCCACCTGAAGTCGAGATATTGTCCAGCTCATACTACTGCTTGATGGAATGATGGTTTGTATCACAAGAAAGTACCTGCAGCAGGGGCGTGATTTCAGGGTTTTTCGGGGCAAAACCAAAACTTTGTCTGCTTGTTAAGTTGTTCATTAATGGAGGCGCCACAGTACATTGCAAATTAAATAAAACCTGCAAATTTAGGGGGGGGGGTGGTGGGAGCGCAAAATATTGTGTCTTGTTCCTCAACAAGCCGGAGACCAATTGTTTCCTACTGTTCTACACTTCCTGGCGCAGGAGGTAACCTGATGGCAAAGTGGTCAGAGTGTGTCGATATCCGAAAATGACATACTACCTTTTGTGCTGGAGCTAAAACGCCAAGCAATACACAAATCAATAAATCGTCTCCATCCCTCATATCGCGATCCGTAAAGATTAGTTTCTTGCATCAAATTCTTACATGTGGTTGCGTCGTCCTAAACACAAGTTCTTGTTACAATAGCAGTGTACACTTTAATCCAGAAACATAAATATCAAGTTTTACAACCTTCTCCTACCACCAACTGCTCTGACACCAACTGCCAACTGCCAAACGAATGGGTCGTATTAGAACGTGTTACATCGTACACAAAGCAACAGACTATCGACGGTACGTCACAGTTAAAATAAAATTACGCCACAATACGTCACAAGTACAAGCCCAATGGTAACAAAAGCGTTCACTAACTAAGCTAACACAAACTGCACACAATAAAACACAGTAATCGGTGCGCAACAATTTCTATGTGAATATCCATACTTCGCGCAGAAGGGACTCTGCTGCCATGGATGGTGGCTCATCTAATAGAAGAACAATTACGACTGCTACCCAGCAGTAGGTATTAACTGCTCGAGAAACTAATGATTTTTAAAAATTTGTTTAGCTTTTTAAAGAAGGCTTTCTTTTAAAGACTACATTCAACATAATTAAAATATATTTAAATAATTGGGATTCTTAAAAAGTGCGTTACTTGAATGCCAGTTTTGTCAAGTGACTTGTGGAAGTTGGGAAGTTCACGCATTGCTGCCACCAATATTTGGCGGGTTATTTCTAGTATAGTAAGAATACTACATGCAAAGGAGACAAAAAACTATCGTTATCTTCTTCTTCTTCTATATCGTAAGGGCCCGCGATCAATTTATTGATCATTTTGGCTCCTATGCATGTAGATGGGATTTGCAATGTTTCTGTTACTGGTGTTGATGAGGAAATCATGCACTAGGGGTTCGAAGGCTTGAGGCAATTATCCACCCCACTCCAATAAAATCTATACAGCTTCGATACTGTTTCGCCCCCCCCCCCTCTCTACACTTAAATTGAGTTTCAAGAAACCAATTCGGTAGCGACTTATGTGTGGTTCACACTTATACATCATAAGAACTTGAACGTATTTATTCACACACATCACAATTTCATATACATATTTTTGGGGTAACCCAAATCCTTGCAGGCGATGACCATGAATGCAAACCTGTCAGGTGATGACCATAAATGCCAAACTATCAGGCGATGACCATAAATGCCAACCTATCAGGCGATTACCATAAATGCCAACCTTTCAGGCGATGTTGACACACCAAGTGATACTAACGACACACAATGATGCACTACTGACACGCCCCATTGTACACATCTTATGTAGTCCAATTGTAGAATCCACTGAAATCTCCCTATTTCTAA